CTTTCCCTGGTTTAATCTCCCCTCTTGTAAGATCCGGGCATTCTGTTTGGGGCATTCTACAACCCTCTGTGCTAGATGCCCCTATAGCTTTGGACCTTTTCTCCATTTAATTCAGTCCAAATGAACAATATGTTCAATTTGTTACAAATAAAAGGTTTGTTTCTTATTGCCAACCACCCTCACACGATAACAGGTCTTAGAGGTGCTGACAGTAACTGAATTCTTTGGGTGGCACAGTTTGTGTGATGATCTCCTTAAAAACGAGGCCCTGATGAATTTGTACCTGGTGATTTTTCTTTTCTATGATTCTGTAATTTTTCAGAAGGAAATTTATGAGGAGACATTTCATATGGAAGAATGCACCCTTAACAAAAATATAAGTCTGGATGTCCAGCCATACTATGTGAATGTTTCCTCTTAGACAATTCAGACCCAATCATTCACATTCAATAGCCACGCCACTGCTGCTCTGTTTTCTAGTTTGTCATTTGGGTCTTTTCCAAAGTTTTCACTTCTCCTTAGGCCGGACAAACCTGCTGATTGCATGTCTACTGGTAACCTCAAAGGCCTTCTAAGGATGTCTTTAGGGTCTAGGTGTCTGGACCTGCTTGTACTGCATTATCCCCCAGGCCTACTTCATTCCTCAATGGGCGTAGGGACCTCCCACAGTCATCATCAGCTTTGCCCCTGCTCCCACCTGCCATTGCTCTGGGTTTCTGGTGGGACCCAGTGGGCCTGCTTGGTCTAGGCTCGGTTGCCTCTCTGAGATACATAAGGTGTTCTTAAACCCAGCTGATGATTAGAGCCACTAGGGGAGCTTTCAGAAAGTGTGCCTATCTGGGCCCCAGAGCAGACCTGTGGAGCCCCGAACTTGAAGGCAAGAGCCCAGCATCTGGTATTCTCTGCACCCCAGGGTTGGGCCCTCTGGTATGCAAGGAGCACACATTCAGGAAGACTTCACCTCACCATCCAGGGTACACTCCCAGGGCCCACATACTGCTTCTGTGACTTCCCTGCTTATCTACCTGCTCCCTTGACTTCCGGTTCATCTTTAACAGCTGTTGCTTATCTGTGCCTCTAAGCCTTGCCAGTTGCTTACACTTACAGAGCACGTAGTATACACCAGACACTGTGGAAAGTGCTTGACATGTGTTTACTCTTGTAATATTCACAACAAGCCAATGATGTTATTTGTATGATTATCCCCTTTGTACAGGTGGGGGAAATGATGCAAAATTTAACAGATTGGTGAGATAACTTGCCCTGGGTTGTACAGCTACTGCTGTGCTGAAACTGGAAGGCAGGTAGTCTGGTTTTAGAGCTCTCACTATTTTTTTAAACAGCTCTATTGAGACATAATACACATAGCATATAATTCACCCATCTAAAGTAAACAAGTCAGTGGTTTTTACTCTATTCACATACCATCACCATGATCTAATTGTAGAATGTTTTCATCACCCCCCAAAAAAACCCAAGTCCATTAGCAGTCGCTCCCCTGTTTTCTATCCCCCCAGGCCCTGGGAACCACTAAACTACTTTCTGTCTTAATGGATTTGCCTATTCTGAACCCCTTCATATGAATGGAATCATATTGTATTTGGTTTTTAATGACTGGCTTTTTTTCACTTAAGCATAAAATTTCAAAGGTCATACATGTTGTAGCATGGATCGGTACTTCAGTCCTTTAAATGGCTGAATAATATTCCACTGAATGGATATACCACATTTTGTCTATTTGTTCATCAGTTGACAGGTATTTGGGTTATTCCACTTGAGAACCCTCATTCTCAGCCTCTTACAGTCTATAGCCTTTAATGATGAGGATGACCAAGCTATTTCAGATTTTCAGATGTTCTAAAGCACGTTCAGTGACTTCCCTGGTGGTCCAGTGGTTAAGAAGCCACCTTCCAATGCAGGGTACTTGGGTTCGATCCCTGGTCGGGGAACTAACATCCCACATGCCACAGGGCAACTAACATCCCCATCCCACATCCCACATGCCGCACGTCACAACTACTGAGCCTGTGCGCTCTAGAGCCTGTGCCACAACTAGAGAGCCCACGTGCTGCAGCTACTGAGCTTGCATGCTCTGGAGCCTGCACACCACAACTAGAGAGAAGACCATGCGCTGCAATGAAGAGCCCACGCGCCACAGTGAAAGATCTCGCATGCCACAACTAAGACCTGACACAGACAAGTAAATACATACATACATACATACATAAACATTAATTTAAAAAATGAGGGCTGGGGCTTCCCTGGTGGCGCAGTGGTTGAGAGTCCGCCTCCCGATGTAGGGGACACGGGTTCGTGCCCCGGTCTGGGAAGATCCCACATGCCGCGGAGCGGCTGGGCCCGTGAGCCATGGCCACTGAGACTGTGCGTCCGGAGCCTGTGCTCCGCAACGGGAGAGGCCACAACAATGAGAGGCCCGCATACCTCAAAAAAAAAAATAATAAATAAAAAAATAAAAAATGAGGGCTGTTTGAAAAAAAAAAAGCACATCCACATCCTGGTCTCTTAATTGTTACTACTAACACTGATATCATCACTATTAAAATTGCAAATCCCTATTCTAGAAATAACATCACAAAGAGACAGCAAGGTTAACTGCTGATTTGTCTGAGATCACGGAGCCAGAAAGGATGAAATAAGAACTTGACTCAGGTCTTCCCGTTCCCAGTGTCAGGCTCTGTCCCCTACACTGCCCTGCACATCTACTCCTGCTTGCATGAGCCCCCAAATCCTCCGCTATCATACCTGCCCTTCCCACATTCCATGTGTGATTTAAGCAGGGCTGTCAGTCAAGGAGGAGTTCCATCCTGTTCCTGACCTCTAGAAATGGAGAATTTCTGAGCCTCTCCACTGATCTAGGTCACGTGTTCAGTGTACAGTCCCCGTCCTGGTGCCCTGCTGGCACCACAGCCAACAGCTGCCCAGGACCCCATGTCGATACTAGGATGGGCCACAGGTTCACACGTCCTGAAGCTGTTCTCAAAAATTTGTTGCTGCTCTCCAGAAACTACCCAGTATTATCAACCATCCTCTGCAAGAAGTCGTTATTCTCCAACCCAAACTGCTCACAAGGGCTGTTCCTACAGAACACAACAATGCCATCTATGTGGCAGAACCTGGCTCCTCCTTGACCCTCTGCAGGGTGACCTAGCCATAGGTTCTGGGGTCTCCAGCCCAGAGGTCTGGTCACTGCTGGCCTTGGGACTCAGTCATGCAGGGCTTTCTGAGGGTGACCTCCAATCATGCCAGAGGCAGGCTGCCCTACTTTTGGACAGAGTTGCTGAGACTTCAGGGGTGGGGGGTTAGGTGGATTAATAATGCTGATGGTGATGATGATGACGACAAGTCACATTTATGGCGCATTTACCATATGCCAGGAATTCCCCTAAACATTTTGTGAACGCATTCATTTAATCCTCATAACAATGCTATGAAGTGGTACACTATTATTACTTGCATGTTAAAGGTGGGGAAACTGAGGCATAGAGAGGTTGAGTAACTCGCCCAAGTTCACACAGCTAACTGGTGGCAGACTTGAGATTTGAGGTCAGGCAGGCTGGCCCCAGGAACACTTGCTCATCGCCCCCAAGCTGTGCTGCCTCACTGTTGCCTCCCAAGAGGGATGTCCAAGCCTCATCCAGCAGCACACGTGGCTCACCTCTGGAGCAGCACCAAGAAGGAGAGCTCCGAGGAGTCAGGGAAGCGGGACTAACGGACATCCACGAGAGCTGTAAGGGCAGGCACTCTCTGAGGCTGCATGGCGGCCGCGCTTGCCCCCCTGCCATTGGCCCATCTCTGAGCTTGACACCGCTCTGTCCTCATCTGCTGTCGTGAGCGCTGTGGACCTTGTAAATTTGGTCAGCCCTGTCCAGAACAACCTCAAACTTAACACACCTAAAACTAAACTTATCGTCTTTTAGAAAAACTCTGCAGCCAGATTGCCCACCATCAGAGAGACTCCACCACTCCCAGCTGTGACCTTCGGAGCTCTTTCTCCTCCCTGCTCTGGTCTCCTGATGTGTGAAAGGGGGAAGTTTTTCCAACCTATGGTTATTGCAATGATTAAATAAAATACTCCACAAAATGGCTTGGCCAGAGCCTTGCACATGAACATTTAATTAATGCTGGTAAAGACAATAGCAAAAGCAACTTTTCCATGTGTTGGCAGCAACCTAATTCCTTTGGTTCCAAGACATAACATTTTAGACCTGTTTTTTCGCGGTACGCGGGCCTCTCACTGTTGTGGCCTCTCCCCTTGCGGAGCACAGGCTCCGGACGTGCAGGCTCAGCGGCCATGGCTCACGGGCCCAGCCGCTCCGCGGCATGTGGGATCTTCCTGGACCGGGACACTAATCCACGTCCCCTGCATCGGCAGGCGGACTCTCAACCACTGCGCCACCAGGGACGCCCTAGACCTTTTTTTGACTGTTCTATTTTCTTCCTCTAGGGTGTTAGAGCCAGGCCCCAAGGAGAAAGGCTGTCAATAGGTAACATTGGGGTGAAGGATCTGCAAGCACGGAGTTCAGGAGAGGACTCCAGGCTTAGGTAGCTGGAAGCTAGGGTGTAAATCAGGAAGCACAGAGGACCGTTGTGACGGGGGCAGCTCTGGTGGACACACATTCACTGAACAGTTTTCGACATCTAATGATAATAAAACTCAGCATTTGCTGGGTGCTCACTCAGCACCAGACAGGGATCAAAGTATTCCATGGATTAGCTCATGGAGTCCTCCCAGCAACTACAGAAAGCAGATGCCATAGTATCCCCATTTTACAGATGGTAAAATTGAGGCACGGAAAGGTTAAGTAATGGGAAGGCTGAGCTTTGAAGCTGGTCAGTCTGGCTCCAGAGTCTACACTCTTGACTCCTATGTTATGCTGCCTCTCACCTCCCACGTGCCAAGCAGAGAGACAGGTCATCTACACTTGTGTGGAGCCCAGGCTGAACCTGTTCATTGGTGGTGACAAGATTACTGTGTTTTCCCCTCTCAACCCTCCTCCATACGTGCCCCCTCCACTGCATGTGCTCATTCACATCTGTGGCCATCCTCTCCTCTCATCATCAATTCAGATCGTACAAAGTCAAACACAATGCTCACCACCTCCTCCATGAAGTCCTCCTCGACTAAACACATCTCACAATGAACTTTTTTCCCCATGATTTTCCATAGTACCGTGGTCTAGCTCTTTGTTGTAATACCTTGTATTATACTTCAGTTGTTTAACTAGGGCGAGAATTACTTACCTAACGATAGTCGTGTGGAAACAAAATCAGAGAAAGGTCAGGTAACTTTCCCAAGGTCACAAAGAAGTCCAGTGGTGGAAACTGGATAGGAGCTAAGTGCTTTTCTCAGTAGAGGATACTGAATGCCTCCCTGCCTGGCCCCAGTTGTATTAATAACCAAAAGGTTCTTCTATGAGCATAAATTAAGATATTTATGAAATTTAGTCCTTGATATCTCAAAGGGCTCTGGGCCTTCTGGGAGCTCCACAGGCTAAGCTGGTGGCAGGGATGTGCATATAGATGTGAGAGGTCACAGACTGGCCTCCAGTTAACCTCAGCAGGGCCCTTCCACCATGGACCACAGGGGTTCCTGCTGGCAACAGTCTAGATTCCGGTGATATGTCTCTGGCCCTTGTGCTTGGTGCCCCGTCCACATCTCCACTCCAAAACACTCTTGTCTGGCACAGGACACATTTCTGACAGTGGAAGAATGTGTGGAAATGTACCAAAACCCCAAAGAGCCTGTTGGTGTAAGTAAATATCATTTCTTATTTCTGCAGATGTATCCTTCTCTTGTTTATTCTTAGATGTGGCCTTGGGAAACTTAGAGGGGAATGATGAGTCAAGACGTAACTTAACAGCAATCCCAGGGAAGTGCAGCATCTTATTCTTAAAGACAAGAAAATCAAACTGTATTCAGGGTAGCTAAGGGACTTGCCTAGGAGCCTACCCCAAGTAGTGACAGGTTTTAAATTTTTTGGGCTTTCCATCTCCAGTAGATGGAACTAGGATGTCTCCTGAATATTTGTCTTTCCTATGATTAAGAGCAGCAGCCCACAGAGGAGTCCCTTTAGTGAAGTGTCATGGGGTTTATGTCGGAAAGACACAGGCAAAACAACCGGTTCCCCTGACAGTGAGTGAAAGATGGTTTCCAGGATGCTGGTTGCCTCCTTCCTAGTAATATCCCTTTGCAAAATGTGTGCATACAAAACAGATCTTCTTTCACATGGTTACTAAGAATTGTGCATTTGATTTTAGGTTGTCACCACCGGGAAGGAACAACTAGATTTTGAAACAGGACCACACATATTTGATTTGCAGATTTGTGTGAAGGATGACGTGGGTGTCACTGACCTGCAGGTCCTGACGGTCCAGGTAACAGATGTGAATGAGCCGCCTGAGTTTCAAGGCAACTTGGCAAAAGGTAAGACACACTGGGGTGTACGATGCAGCCCAGACGGTGGCATCAGGCAGGATGCTGGGTGACAGAGTGAAACAGAAAAGTAAATAAACAAGCAGCTGTTTCCCTGGAAAAGGCAGTTGCTTAATGAGTGGGGAATAAGTGAAACGTCCACCAGCCCAGGACTCCCAATAATAACACCCAATAATTTACAAAGCCCTTTCCATCTATGGCTTCTCTTGGGCCTCTCCTGGGGAGGAACCTGGGGCTCAAGGACCTCAAGTGGATCATGCTGGAGGAAACTGGGCTGAGCCCATTTACAGGCTTAGCACTGGATACCGGCCATTGACTGACTGGTTCATTCTCTGCATGGATGCTGACCCCTCGAGGGGACTGTGTATTTGGGGTCTGCTACAGGGTAGGGACAATACAGGGGATCGGAGCATAGGGTAACATCCTGCGTGATCTCCCCCTGGCTCATGGCTTTGAAGGCCATCTATACACTGACAACTCCCAAGTCCACTGTTATTTTTGTTTGTTTTCTATTTTTTGGATTCAATCATCTTTATTAACCTATTAATGTCACATTTTATATCAGTACATACTACCTTGTTATTTTTTCAAAGGGATCTAGTACATCATATTAATAGTAAAAAGTCAAATAAGATGGCTAAACATCAACCTAGCGTATTAATGTCCTCTGGACAAGGCAAGCTAGAAACGCAGTCACTTTACACACATATAAGGGTAGTGTTCCAAATTAACTAAGAAGCTGCTACACCACCTTCACCCTTGAACTCCTGACTCAGATAAAAACTGTCCTACCCAGCATCTCCATTTGGATGTCTAATGGACATCTATGATATTGTGATTTATAATAAGAAACATATATTTCGTCTTTGTCCCCTCCTGGCACAGATCCTAAAACCGTTGGAATGTCCTAAGTGATAAGAGTGATAAAGGTGTCTTTTCTTACATTAATGAGGTGACTTTTGGACCCCACCTAAGGATGGGGGTTGCCCACTAGAGAAACCAACCATGATTAGAAGGTTGGACAGTGGAGAGGGGGGAGGGGCTGGAGATTGAGTTAAATTGGGTTCAGTCACTAATGGCCAATGATTTAATCAGTCGTGCCTACGCAATGAAGCTTCCATAAAAGCCCAAAAGAACAGGGCTCAGAGAGCTTCCGGGTTGGTGAACACGTGGAACCTGGGGAGAGTGGGTGCCTGGAGAGGGCATGGGAACTCTCTGCCCCTTTCCCATACTGTGCCCTATGCATCTCTTCCATCTGGCTGATCCTGACTTATACCCTTTTATAATAACCCAATAATCTAGTATGTAAAATGTTTCCCTGTGTTCTCTAGATAGCAAACCCCTCTAGCAAATTATTGGAACCCGAGGAGGGGGTTGTGGGAACCTCCCATCTAGAGTCGGTTGGTCAGAAGCACAGGTGACCACCTGGACGTGTGATTGGCATCTGAAGGGGCAGGGGCTCTCTTGTATGATGGAGCCCTGCAGCGTGGAATCTGACGCTATCTTTGGGTAGACAGTGTCAGAATCGAGTTGAGTTGTGGGACACCCAGCTGGTGTTGGAGAATTGCTTGGTCGTGTGGGAACCCCCCTAGACACACACTGGAACTGGTGTTAGAATCTGACATCTCAGACTTAATGTGCCCCCAAACCACTCTTGACTCCCATCTTCCTCCCCACCATCCCAGCCCAAATCTGCTTCTCTCATCTTTCCCATTTTAGTTGCTGGCAACTCCATCCCGAGGTTTTGCTGGGCCAAAACCTCGCAGTTACCCTTGATTCCCCTCTGTCTTTCACACCCAACATCAAACCCATTAGGAAATCCTGCCAGCTTCTAAGTTTATGCAGAATCCAACCTCTGCTCAGCAACCCCAGCATGGCTTGCCGGGATCACGGCAGTGGCCACCTAATCGGTCTCCTGCTCTGCCCTTGCCCCCTCTAGTTGATTCTTCTTACGACAGCCAGACGGATCCTCTTAAACATCGGTTAAATCAAGGCACTCCTCTGCTTAAAACCCTGCAAGAACTTCCCATCTCCCTCACAAGGAGAACCAGAGTCTCCCTAAGGTCCTATCAGATCCGATGAGCCCCTTCCAGACCCCATCTCCTCTCCAACACATCTCCCCTTCACTCTTCTGCTGCCGCAGTCCTGGCTTCCTCACCGGTCTGTGAATACCCCAGGCACGCCCTATCCCGGCATCTTTGCATCCGCCGTTTCCTCTGCCCCTTCCCTTGCATCTATGTCTCCTCCTTCCTTTAAGAATCTTGACTCCAATGTCAGTGAACCTTCCAGAAGCACTCTATTTAACATGGTAACCCAACTCACCACATGCCTTATCCCTGATTCGTCTCCGTAACATTGCTCAGTAACATTCACGTATTTTATTCATTTATTTTATTTTCTATGTCTCCCCACCAGAATGCAAGCTTCATGACAGCAGGGTTTTGCGTTTTGTGAACGGCTGTACTCCCAATATGTACATCCGTGTTTGGTACACAGTGAGAACTCAGTCAATATTTTTTGAATGAAAGCCTGAGCAGTGATCAAAGCAAATGTAAGCTGGAGCTTGGATGTAAGAAGGCCTGGGTTTGAATTGTGATTCTATTACTTAGCAGCTGAGACAACCTCACAACTTCTCTGAGCCTGTATCCTTGTTTGTAAAGTGGAGATAACTACAATACCTACTTTACAGGGCTGTTGTGAAGACGAAAGGAGAAAACATAAGTCCTCAGCATAGTGCCTCCAAAAGAGTGAGTTAATGCTAACGTTCTCAGTCATCTCTCAGAAAGTTTCTCAGAAAGAGATGCCAGGGCAGAGCATGGCGGCCCCTTGGGCAAGGCTGGTGGTGCTAGTGACCCTGTCTGCCCCCTCCTCACCCTGCCGGCTGAGAACTCCGAAGTAGACTGAATCCATGTGTGGTCCCTTTCCTGAACCTTTGTAGCCCTCCCTCTCCTTTTTTCCATATTCTTTCTGTTCCACTATAAGGCCTCTCATTTCAGGGACTCATTTCTGCTGAGATGCTAAGTGCACTTGAGGGGTGACCTAGGCTTGGTTTAGGAGGAATTTGCATGTGAAAGTGGACCTGGAACTCATACTGGAGGTTCCCACTGGGTTACTTTCCACCTCTCTGTCCTTATCACTCCCCTGCCCCACGAACAACAGTACCCTAGTCACCTCTCAACCCAAGGAGATATACAAAGACTTGACACCAGCTTGGTCAATCCTAGCTCTTTCTTAATTCCCATAAATGGATCCACCCACGCAAACTGGTCAGTGGTCTTACTCATGGCCTTAATCACTGCTTTCTTCTTTCCCCCAGTGCTTGGCTCCCTTTGACTGGATACCGCTGTCCTGGTTTGGGAATTCCTCCTTTGCTTTATTTAATAAAATGTTTCTTTTTTCCCCTTTGCATGCTGGTATAGGTCTAGACCTCTACATAGTGGAAGGAGCAAAGCCTGGATTCATTTACCAGGTGGAGGCCTTCGATCCAGAAGACACAAGGCAAAACACACCCCTCGGTGTAAGTCTCCTTGCTAAACCGCAGAGGGGCTTTTCTGTGTGGTCTTTGACACAGGAGCCTGGAGTCTCAGTGGGGTGGGCTGGGTGGGGGCAATGGGAGGAATCTGCTGTCCACTGCCAGGCACAGAGCCCTGGGGAGGCTGGAATGGGTGAGGGGCTTCTGGGGACAGACACCCCACATTGGATCCATGGCTCTGTGTGATCCTGGACAAGTTCTTAATCTCTCTGAGCTTCAATTTCTCCATCTATAAAATGGAAGAATAATAGTATAGCACCTACCATAGTAGGGGGATGGTTAGTATTAGATAACACACATAAAGCCACTTAGTCCAGTGCCTGGTGTATCAAAATTGTTCAATATTTTTTTAATTCCAAGGTGATAAAAAACCAGCTATATTATTCTAAAAATAAGCATAAAATGCATACCTTAAAGGTAGGCATTAACACTTCCTTTTCAAGAGATGAAGACAAGCTGCCTGGAGCCTAGTTTTAAAAGAAAATTGGAAGACAGTCCCAGGAGTTCCGAAGAAAAGGAGGATTTCCACAGAGAAAAGCAGGAGACTGAGTCCTGGAGCACTGCCTCGTGGTTCAGTCTGAGACAGCTGATCCCCACCTTTTTAATCAGTTTCCTTAAGGGGGCTGCCAGTGGAGCTCTTGTAATCACTAACACTCAGGCCAAGAAGCCTCTTAGCTTATCACTGGGCAAGGATGCCTCAGCTCCCAGCTCTGCCCACCGAGGGGTGGGTGCATAGCTCCCAGCTTGTGTACCCAACGCAGCTGGGCAGCCCAGGCTGGAGAGGAAAAAACCAAAGCTAATGCCACCTGTCTAATCTTGGAGCAGACAAAACTCCAGCAAACCCACTGTACAGAGAAGAGAATTCTTGAAATATGACACCTGGGGAATTGGCAACGCCAGGAGACTGTCTCTGCATTTGCGGCATGATTTGCAGCTTCAACTGGACTACTTTCTCTAACAGGAGGGAGCTTTGGGAATGAACTCCAGAACCAATAGAATATGGTTCTACAGGGTTTGCAGCAAAGCTATTTTAAGATTATTGAACATATCTTAAGTCAGGGAATAGTTTGTTATCATTGGAAGACAATCCTTCTGTCAAAAAAACAACCAATCAGCCCATTCTTTCATCCAAGATTCTATCTGCATGAATAAGTGATTAATATGCAAACACTTAGTGGGTCCCTACTACCTGCTAAGAGCAATACTAGGTGCTTTAAATGCGTACTTATTAATAACACACTTGTTCTATAACTTAGAAATGTGTTTATCTGAAAGTAACAGAAAACTTAACAACAGTGGTGGATATGAGATTTGTTTTCCTTCCATAACAAGAAGACCAGAGGCAGGCATGCAAGCAGTCCAGGGCTGGCACAGCTGCTACCCTCAGCAACCGTGGCTCTTCTTATCTTTCTGCTATTTCATCCAGTGTATGTTGGCTTTGTTCTCCCTTTGTATCATGTAATCTCATGATAATCATGTATCATGTAATCATGTAATCTCATGATTACAAGATGGCTGCTGTACCTCCAGGCTTTACCTCTAAGTTCCAGGCAGGAAGAAGAAGCAAAAAAGAAAGCAGGATGGGGTACAGGATAAAGTTAGGCAGGCCAACCCAGTTTGTCCCTTTTTTGGTGGGGAAACCAAGACCCTCCTGGAAGCCCTACCTAGGGGGCTTCTGCTTACTTCTCAATGGCCAGAACTGTGTCTTATGGCCACTGTTGCTTGGTGGTGACCAGGGGAAAAGGGATTCTGGATGGACATTAAGTCAGCAACCCAAAGCATAGTACCACACTTATACATTTAGTTCATTTCAACATTTACCAAGAATCCACTATGTGCCAGGTCTTCTATTAGATGCTTTGGATACAAAGACGAATAAGACACGTCTTTGTACCTCAAGAAGTTTACAGTCTGGATGGGAGACATTCATGCATACACCAAATAATGATAATTCAATAAGATCATTACTATAAAGTTTGTACAAGATGCAGTGGGGGCAGAGTGGAAGGAATCTCGGCTGTGAAGAAAAGTATTTATTTTTAAATCTCCATTTCAATATATATTTCAAAAATTAGGCAGAAGGAACAAGGTCATGGCCCTTTCAAAAATACCTCCTAAGTCAGGTTGTTACCCTTTCAGATGAAGGGAAGCAGCCCAGGTGGGGAGCAAATACAGTAGGTGCTGCTCCCTTAAAAGAAAATGTAATGCCATCCAAAGATATCGGAGAGCAGCTACAGGCCCTTGGAACCTGGAGCCGGGTGGCTGCAACTGTGGCTTCTGCAGTGAGTTTAGGATTGTTTGGGGAGGGGACACTGCAGCAGAAATCGTTAATGAAGTATTTAACACCTGTGCTGGAACTGACAGCTGCACAGAAAGTCAACAGCCAGCCCTCAGGAGCAGTGAACATAACCTAGAAGGAACCTTTCTCAGACTAGCAAAAGGTAATAACAGTTCAGGAAGTAACATGCCACGGCCTTTGTACATAGACATTTTATTCTGCCCGCTTGGTGGTACTAAATGATATATTTTGCTCCCTACAAGGAGAAAGGAGATGGGTTAATTTGCTATTGACCAAACCTGTGCTTCTCAACCTTGGCTGTAAATTGAAACCACCAGAGGAACTTTCAAAAGCACAGAGATCTGGGTCCCACACCCTAAGAGTCTGATGTGATTGACCTGGGGTGTGGCCCAGGCATCAGGTTTTTAAAGCACCCCACCCAGCGATCTCTTGTGCTGCCAGGGTTGAGAACTGCTGCTTTTTTTTTTTAATTGAAGTATAGTTGATGTACAATATTATAGGTTACAGGTGTCCAATATAGTGAATCACCATTTTGTTTTGTTTTGTTTTGCTTTGTTTTGTTTTGTTTTTTTGCGATATGCGGGCCTCTCACCGCTGTGGCCTTTCCCGTTGCCAAGCACAGGCTCTGGACGCGCAGGCTCAGCGGCCATGGCTCACGGGCCCAGCCGCTCTGCGGCATGTGGGATCTTCCCGGACCGGGGCACGAACCCACGTCCCCTGCATTGGCAGGCGGACTCCCAACCACTGCGCCACCAGGGAAGCCTGTGAATCACCATTTTTAAAGGTTATACTCTATTTAGAGTTATTATAAAATATCAGCTACATTCCCTGTGTTGTACAATATATCCTTGTAGCTTATTTAATACCTAATAGTTTGTACCTCTTAACTCCCTCCCCCTAAATCGCCCCCTCTTCCCTCTGCCCACTGGTAACCACTAGTTTCTTCTCTGTATCAGTGAGTCTGCTTCTTTTTTGTTATATTCACTAGTTTGTTGTATTTTTTAGATTCCACACTAAGTGATATCATCCATTATGTGTCTTTCTGTGACTTATTTTACTGCTTTAAGACACTGTTTCCCACACTCCCCAGGTCTCTACCTTGAAGTTTTGGATTCTGTGGGTCTGAGATGGGGCCAGGAATCTACAGATTTGCCAGATACCTTGGGTGATTCTTCTGGTCAGAAAGGCTGGGAACACTGGTTTATGAGTGCTTCTCACTGGGTGTTCAAGCCCCTACCTGAGAACATACCTAGGATGCTTCAAAAACACAGATTCCTAGACTCTGCATCGGAATGCTGAATTGGACCACAAACTGCCCAGGTGATTCTGATGCATTCTGCCCTTGGAGAACCACTGACCTGGGTAAACAAGCACAGACTTTAATAAAATACCAAAGCATGTGCAGGAAGCCACCTGGGCTTGGTTTGTGCCTGTCATCTTACCTGGTGGGTTCCAGGAGTCACCTTGCTGATGGCAGCGACTAGAGGAGGAAGGATAAATTAAATATTAGCTCTAGGACACCTCCAGAATCTGCAACTCTTTTACAACAAACCCTCCACCCTCATCCAGCTTAATAAAGTGAAACTGTGTCTGTCACAGATTGTGTAAAATTGGGGCTAATACAGAAACCACTGGTATTTGCTCCCTCCCTTTTAAAGAAAGTTCTAAAGCATGTGGTTGTATGTTGTTTGGACCCGCACTTGCCCAATAGAGCTAGACTGTGAGCCAGAAATGATTGCTGTGCCTTTAAATGTTCTAGTAGCCCCATCAAGAAGGTAAAACAAAACAGGTGAAATTCATTTTAATATAGTTGAACTCCATATATCCAAACTATTGTCATTTCAACATATAATCAACATAAAAATGACTCGTGAGATATTATACATCCTTTTTTTCATAGTATCTCTTTGGACTCGTGTATTTTACACTTAAAGCTCATCTCCTTTTGGACCAGCCACAGTGCAGATGCTCTGCTGTCACAGGTGCCCGTGGCTGGTGGCCTCTGTGCTGGACGGTGTGGCTGGGGCCCAGCATTCGCTCCCCTGCAGGTGCACCTTCTGTGCTGTGATGGGTGCAGATGGAGGAGGCTCAGAGGCAAAGCATCAGGACACAGAGACGTGCAGGACGGTCCCTATGTGAATAATTAGATTTACTGGCATTTCTGCCTGCCCTTTCTCCACCTCCTGAAGGAGGCTCTCTGGGGCCCACTCCCTCCCACCCAACTCCCACATTCCCCGCCCCTCATGCTTGGAAATGGCCACGGTGACTGCAGCAGAGCTTCCTTGGAGACTCGAAGGACGTTAATCAGTTTCGCAGCTGGAAGCAAAGTGATCTAGTGCAGCAATTCTTCCATTAAGGGGCTTTCTCTTGGCCTTTCCATTAGGGAAGGACTTTTGCATAAAGTGAAATGTGCTTTGTCTTCACCAGGGCAGACAAAGGATGAAATTAAAAGAGCAATAACCTTGCTACCAGCTGGGCTACCAGGAGGGCAGCAGGGGAAGCAATTCTCTCTCCACCTCCATCTTGCTCATGGCTCTGAGAAGTGGCATCACCTTGCAATCTTCCTGAGAGTAAAGTGATCAGCTGATGACTGTCAGTCCCACTGGATGGAAGTTTTCAGGTCTCCTGAGCAGCCCCCTATTTCCTGGCGGGGGAAGGATCTGAGGCCCTCGCCTGGGCCAGGTAATGCCAGTGAAAATCAAGGGATTCTGCTCATCCCCTTCCACCCACCCACACACACACACCCCTACTATTCACTGCCCCCCAGGCATCTGCCTAACTCAGGAGTCTGCGCTGGAAGTCTTTGCAAAACGCTTTATACTCCAGGTTCTCGTGAGAATGCTTGAGAAGGGAACAAACAGTGCTATTTGAAAATTCCCACTCCAAATACACCACCACTGATGACGGTTCATACGTCGGGAGAGATACTTCCTCAAATAGAAGGGCATCATTGTTCTTAAGATTAGTGACGCCTGGATCAAAGAACAGGACCCGGGCTGATCACGGAAAAAGACTGACAGAATACAGGAAGATCTGCAGCTTCCTCAGTAAAGGATTGCATCCTTTACATATCTATAGCATGTTGCATTTATACATGTGGCTCTTCTTAAAAACAAATATTTGTCTATAACCCACCTAGCTCACCCTCACGATAATAACACACACAAGCAGAGCCCAGTTAAGGGCTTGCAGTAGGTTTTTTTATGGTAGCTGTTTTTTCCCTCCTAGGCGCACTTCCCTCCCACTCCCGTCCCCCACCTCCCACCTCTGAGCTGCTTTGGGGTGGAATAGGGGGAAAAGAGAGGAATTGAGCCTTTTATAAAACATTCAGCTTACACTGAAAAATAATCGGACCGTGGCATCACCTTTATAACTTGCCCGGGCCCAGTAGAGAGATGCTGCCTGTCTGGGCCCTCTGGGTGGGCTTGGGGGCATGTTCTCAGTGGCTGGTAGGGTCATTGGCACTCCCCGGACTTGGGAGGAATAAGGGTCCTGCTTGCCCCTGGAAACTTGGTTCCTGGAAATTGACTGCTCTCTTCCTACGAGCTGGGAGGCTGAATTCTTGCCGCTTGATTCCACTGCAGGCCCGAAAGCAACCAAGGGCTGCAAATCAGCACACGTTGGATCATTATTCGCCCGTGACTCCAGCTGTAGCTGGGGTGGGGTGGGGGGTGCCGGCCCGGAGGTGGCGCGCCCTCCCCAGGGAGCCTGACATTTCAGGAAACTGGGCCAGCTCCCTTGCAGCCTTTTTTCTCTCTGCACCGGTGGCACAATAAAGGATGAATGGGGCAGGAAGCCTGCTCATCGTTCTCCACCCCGAAGCTCTGTGTCCGTGAGCAAAACATTGCCGCCAAGGGGCTGCAAAGATAGAAACCTGGGGTGACGGTAAAGGAATATTCCCTGCGGGGACGCTCGAGAGCTTGTCTGACAAGCATTTGTTCACAGAATTGATCTGATTACTCAGGACTTTTCTTAGCCAGTATTGGAGCAGAGAGGGGCTGCCGTTGCTTTTCATCCTATTTAATTTCTGTTTTCCAAGAACGAATATCAAGGGAGCAGCTTTGATTAAACAAGCCTTTAAAAAGGGGAGAGAATGCCAGGTTTTACAGAAAGCTTTGCTGAGTCGCTGGCAAATGGCCACATGACATAATATTTTTAGTCTATGGATATTATCTCCTTTCTAAGTACCAAACTGCTATTCCCATTAACAGAAGCTCGTAGGTTCAGGGATAAAGGAAATTAGCCTGGCTCTAAAAGAAAAAAAAAAAAATCGGGATTCCAGGAAATCAGCCTCTTAATAAAAATTTAAAAGAAATTCCCCGTGTTCTAATCCTACAGCTCTCCACCCTTTCTGTCTGCTGCTGTTGCTTTTTTCTTGCTTGCTGAGACTGGAGGACGATTTCATACCCAAGCCCAGCATTACCAAATTGAAACAGACTTTTTATAAAGGTTGGCAAGGTTTTTGTTGTTGTTGCCTTTTTGTTTTAAGATCCTTTAAGGTGGGAATGGGGGTCTCAGATGGGAAATACGCGAGAAGAAAGCCCCAATATTGAACATTTAAAAAATATTTATTGAGCACCTAGTATGTGTTAGGCATAGGGATAGAGGAGTGAATAAAATGAAGCCCCTTCCTTCATGGAGCTCACATTCTAACTGGACAGTAGTAGTTAACATACATGGACAGCTTACCTGTGCTAGGCACTGTTCTAGAACTTTATGTGATCTCCCCATGGGGCATGCCTTATTATTATTCCTCTTTGTTGCACAAGCTCTCATAAAATGGTAGAACCAGGATTCAGATTCAGCAGTCTGGCTCCAGCCTGGATCCAGAGCCACTTCACGACTCAACTGCCCCAATGTGTGACTCATGTTCCGGATGGGTCTAAGAGGCCGCCTTCTCTGTTGCCCTCATATCCTATATTTATCCCTCGTGGAACACCTGTCCCACGTCTTCTTTGTATGTTCCTTCGGTTGACCATCATCTTTGGCAGAGCAGGGCTGTCTGTCATCTCCATATCCCAAGACCTTGCACTGTTTGGGAAACAACCAGCTCTGGGGACCTATCTCCTAGAGCATTTCAAAACACATGTGGAAAGCCATCCCGATTCAGGTGCATATAGTAAATGCCTTGCCGGGGTCTCTGAACTCTGCCATTCCAGCACATCCAGCTTGGGCCTCTGATATGTGGATATGTGAGGATTCTCTGCAGGAAAGGCTCTGCTCACAGAGCCAGGACAGCTCCACGCGCTGCCAGCTGCAGGCCCAGGCAGTGAGCTGGAGAGTTGGTGGGGGGCTTGGGATTTAAACATCACACCTCTGAGTGCTGTCAAGGTGCTTATACAATTTGGAGGGCGGGGTAGCTGGGAGAAGGGCACTTCTTGGCATTGCCCAAATATTTCCTCTTAAAAATGGGTTGGAAGCACCTAAGTAACCAGCAAGAAAGACTTAGTAAAATAAGCCCTTACAGTAGAAGGCCATATCGTCATTAACCAACCAGTCTATAAAATGAGACAAGAATATGGGCCAATGCTCAAGCTATAAATAAAAAGAACAAAATATTACAATTGTGGTTAGAACATCATCTCAATTTTTTGGAGGGCATATGTTTGCATAGAAAAGAACAGAAGACTTCATGAAAATGATGAGATTTTACAGGTGATTAATATTTTCTTTTTTAGACTTTTCGGTCCCAGTTTTTTGGTTAAAAATATGTTCATTACAATTAGAAAAATGTTATTAAATAATAAACGGAAAGTAAACACTTTAAAAAATCGTTTAAAAATCTTACATTGGCCCCAAAGGAGAGCTTTCATCTATTTTCTGTGCGTTCTCTCTTCTCTACGGGGAGCTCAGCTGCGATCACAACACAGCAAATCACTGGGTTGGAAAGCTCGGCTGACGTTTCCTTTGATTCTAGACTTCAGGGGCTGTGGCTCTGGTTGCATAACCTCCACTTATGATCTGATCCAGAGATCATCCCTCACCCTAGTGGGAAATAATGAAACCTTCTGCCCTTAAAGCCCTTTGGAACAGATGGCTATAAATACGTAAGCCTCACGTGTTGCCGCGCAGCCCTTCACGTTTTCCAGTGTGCCTTCCGATTTAATCCTTACCATAATGTGGAGGAGCAGTTGGTGGTCTCAGCCCTAACTTACAGGCAAGGAAGGGACTTGTCCCAGGTCCTGAGGTGAGAACCAGAGTTTGGACTCAGCTCTTCTGATCCAGGGCCTTCCCCTGCTTCTTGACTCCACGATGGGAGCAAGGAAGCAATTCTGACGAGCGCCCGTGGACGGACAGGAGTGGGCCTCCTATGGGCTGGCCCTCAGTGGGATGTACAGAGAAGCCTGTGTTCTTATCAGAGCAACTGGTGCTGGGCAAGGGGTCCTCAAGAGAGCTGGGCTGAGCACTGGGAACCAAGGAGGACAAACCCTCAACTCCCCAGGATGTGCAAAGGCTTGACCACTGGCCATAGCCCTGAGATGGGATGTTAAAAAACGCATCTACATCCCAAACCAGCTTCCAACTTGGACTCTAGTACCTGCTAAGGTTCATTCTCTCTAACACTTGTCTCTTTCCTTTTCCCTGCCATCATTGTAATGAATGATGCTTTGTGAACATTTTCACACTGCACCGTATCCTGAGTTCTTTTAAGAGACCGGATCGTATTTGCTTTAGTACTGTCCTATTTCCTAATGCATGGGAGCTGTGTTGAAACAGTGTTGGTTAAAGCCAAGACACCAAATCAAAGCCAGAAGTTGTCCTGGGAAGCAGAAGTGAGAATATGGTGATGGGGATAAGTATGCTGGACTCAGAAGCAGGGAGCTGTTTATGTGTATTTTCTGTAATTGAAGCAGGATCCTGTGACCAACTTCTCAGGGTGTAGCCGATCAGGGTCAGAGGCTCAGACCAACTGATCCAGAGCCTTCTTGAATCAAGAACCATTAAGCCTGAGAACTGCCCATTTGGGCCTCATTCTGATACATCAAAAATGTTGCACGAGGGCTTCCCTGGTGGCGCAGTGGTTGAGAATCTGCCTGCCAATGCAGGGGACACGGGTTTGAGCCCTGGTCTGGGAAGATCCCACATGCTGTGGAGCAACTAGGCCTGTGAGCCACAACTACTGAGCCTGCGTGTCTGGAGCTTGTGCTCCGCAACAAGAGAGGCCGCGACAGTGAGAGGCCTGCACACCGCGATGAAGAGTGGCCCCCGCTCGCCGCAACTAGAGAAAGCCCTCGCACAGAAACGAAGACCCAACACAGCCTAAATAGATAAATAGCGTTCCCTTCAAAAAAAAAAAAATAAACGTTGCGCGGCCCAAGAATATAAAATGGGAAGCGAACAAACTAATCTCTTGGGGAAAGCTACATAGGTGTGCTTAGTAATATTTTTTTCCTTGTTTTTTAGTATTTCCTGATTTCCCCTTCAAAGAGTTTCAGAATGTCTGCTAATGGGACCCTCTTCTCCACAACAGAATTTGACTTTGAAGCAGGACACAGCAGGTACCCTTTGCCAATGACTTTGCTTGAAGTACCTTTTATCTGAGTGTCCAAGGAACAGGCCTAGTGCAGCCTGAGGGCAGCTGCGGAGGCCCTAAGTGGTCTGTTGCCTTGCTGCTAGGTTCAGAGGGTAGTGAGCTCCAAAGAGGGATCAGGAGTAAGGCCATTATCTGAAGGCCTCCTTCCCACCCAAAATCTTCATCTCTGGATTACAAGAACGAAGGTGTGGGAGGGGGCCCCTGAAGCATCCGGAGGACTGCCTCAGATGCCCTTCTGGCTCTGGAGAGGCAGCTGTCAGAGCTGTTTGCCGACATCAGAGCAGCATGGTGGAGGCGAGCAGGCCTCTGGGGAAAGAGGTAAGGAGAAGCCGGGGTTCGAGGGTGAAAACACACAGGCCTTGGGGTCCACGCAGGTTGGCTCTGGGATCTGCAGCAGGTGTGAGAAGCAGGGCTAGTTATCTAATCCATGGCAGCCTCAGTTTCCTTACGTGTGTGGATGGGGCACTTTGCCGAGATAACGGGAGGGAGGATGGAGACAGGGTGTGCAACGTGGCGGGCGGGAGATGGCAGCCGTCAGTAATAACTATAGGATGAGAAATGGAGGGGTGGGGTTTTAGAGATAAGGAAAGAAGGGTGGACCTAGCAGATCTGACTCTGCAGGGGGATATGGAGGGGGGTGGCCAGAAGGGGGACGGACACTTTCCTCCCTCCCTCCCCCCACCCCATTTGTGGTCGTGTCAGCAAAGCTTGACTCCCTGACTTGGGCTGTTTCCTAACAGGTACCATCTTATCGTGGAAGTGAGAGATAGCCAAGGGCTCAGAGTCTCCATGGAGCTGCAAGTGAACATCGTGAATATTAATGATGAGATCCCTCGCTTTACCAGGTAGGCCTGAGGGCTTGGGCGGGGGTCTCCGTGGGCCGGGGGCACCATGTCTCTTAAGTGGCTGAGCCACCTCAGACACACTTCAGGCAAGGCAGAGGGCTGACCTTTGTTCTGGCCTGGAGGAGAGGTAAGAGGCTCCTTTACCTGGGCGTCCAGACTTAACATCTTCCACCTCTGTTGCCCCCGTCTCCACACCCCACAGACGTGTGCACCATGGGATTCTGGGTATGGTGGGGAAGGGGTGGAGGCCAGACACCATGCCCCTGGTGCAAGGCTTGCCACTGGGCATGTGCAGAAGGCGGGTACTCGTAGGATAGGAGGCTCACCGCTAATAACGGCAGAATCCTAGAGCACGTCATCAGTCCAGGCTCCATAAAGCCCACTGTCAGGAGGTCATCCTCTCCGACTGAGGAAAGGGCTGTCTCGATGGTGCCTAAGGGGCCTACCCACTGCTGGGTGCTCTAAGTTTCCTCCTGTTGTGGTGGATTCAGAAAGGAGATCTGCCTTGTCTGGCAGCTCCTCCATCCAACAGATGTGAGGAAGGTAATTGAATCTGGTAGAAGCAGCCTGTGGGAATGTGCCCGGCACCGGCCCAGGCACAAAGGCGAGACCAGAGCCTGTCACAGACAAGGATTTACGAGGGGGAGATGGGATTCTGAGCTGGCATGTGACCCTGCAAACAGCCTGGTTACTGGTTACAAGACTCCACCCCCCCACCGTATCCCACAGTTGCTGAGCCAGGCTCAGGAACCAGCCACAAGGAAATTGGCAAACTCCCCTGCCTGGGTTCACTGTATTCATGGAATACATTCAGCTTGGGAGACTCCACCAACCAAAAGCCACTGGGCCTCAGACCTATGTAGAATGCTTGCAAAAGTACTCTGAGATTGAGGTATTAAAGCATCTCCACTCACAGGCTAACCAAGTGCCTTTTGGCAAAACACACCACAATTCTGACACTTCTGGACGTTATCACAGTCTACAGCCCAGTTGCTGAGTGTCACCATGGAGGCAACAGCAGCAGAGGCACTCCCACAAAATGCTTGTTGCCGGGTTAAGCTCAGCAGGACGGTGCAGTGCATTTCTGCTGACAGGCTCCTCCAGGAACACAGTACAGGCAGTTTATAAATAGTTGTGAACTCCCAGCCTGGATTTGGACTCAAGTATTGGCCAACACAGCAATGCGGTTTCATCAGTGATCCCCCAGAGGAAGGTGATGGCGGCAGGGCTAGAGCTGACATGTTCTGTGACGCCCTGTCCACACCCCCAGTCTGTGAAGTGGGAAAGCAGACTAATGGGCCTGCAAAGGGGAAAATAATCAGTTCGCCCAAGGGGCAGAACGTGTAGGCCATCTGGTTTGGACTACGTCTTCCAAAATAAAGCAATTGGCCTCAGCAGAAAGAGAACATGACCTTGGCTGTTTGTTGGGGTCCCCCAGAGATTGCTCTGGAACTCTGGTTCTCATTTTTGGTTTGAGAGATGAACCTGTTAGGCTCCATCCCAGACAAGGAAGCATGACCTCTGTGACTGTCTAACTATTTTTTTTTTTTTCTTGCGTTATGCGGGCCTCTCACTGTTGTGGCCTCTCCCATTTGCGGAGCACAGGCTCCGGACGCGCAGGCTCAGTGGCCATGGCTCACGGGCCCAGCCGCTCCGCGGCATGTGGGATCTTCCCGAAACGGGGCACGAACCCGCGTCTCCTGCATCGGCAGGCGGACTCTCAAGCACTGCGCCACCAGGGAAGCCCTGTCTAACTATTTTTTAAAAAAACAGTCGACTTTATTTCAAACAGTGTTCCCTGGATGTTGGTAAGGATGGGTCTGGGAGAGCCTGTGATCTAGAAGGATGTGAGGCAGGATTTGGGGCAGGATGGCTGCCCTACTTTGCCAGGGCTGCTCAATTAGAGCCAACCTAGTCCCTCAGCCATCCTCACTTTCAACGTTTGCTCAGTTTCAAACTAGGTACTAACTTTGAGGGTTTCCTGGTTCCCTTGAACCATCATCCTTCTTTTCTCCCAAATCAGTGCTAGGACTAACCATAAGTTATTTAATTCAGGATGAACAAAATTAAATCCTCAAATCGACTCAAGTAGACTGAGTTTGAGTGTGAAGTTAGAAATGCAAAATGTGGAAACAACTCTTCTATCTTTACTATTTGTTAAGGTCCTGCAATGAAATACAACCAAAGCAAGTACTATTTCTGCTGTTGAAAATGCCTCACCATTTTTCTCCCGGGTGGTGACAAACGCTGAACGTTTCATGTTCTCGTGATGTGCACTCCAGGATGCTGCCATTTTGAAAGTCGGGCAGTTTATTATAAGAGTACCCAACTTACATTCACTCTCTACCTCGCAAACAGTGCTCGCTATTCTTGCAAAGAACTTTGTTTTAGAGTCAGGCAGGTGGGTCTTTCTCCCCTTCTGCCCATTTCTTTTGCATTCATTCACAGTCCTTTTCAACCTGGAGCCAGGCAGTGTAGACACACATTATGGACTTAGAGAAGCCATCCCAGGTCATCCCGGATTCACACCCTTTCCCCTGAGCGTGGCCCTGGGTCCAGGCTCTGGTGAGCCAGTGTCACGGGGAGAGGGGTGTGAGAATTAGTGATATCAGAGCTTTCCCCTGTCGGGGGTGCTGCAGGGGTCCTGGCTTCACCGCATTTGAACAGATTTCTACTGTGGTTTGAGGGTAACACTTCTAAGTTAAGTGATATTTTATACATACTTGGGTCTTGGATCCCCAAACCAAATAAACCACAGATTTTATCTTCTGCCAGGCTCAATATCAAGTCAGCCAAGGACAGGATGTTGTACCCGGGGAGTTGTGTCTTCACCAATAGCCTGATCAGTCCTCTTCACAAGGACCTGATTTCCCGGAGCGCCCAGTGTGGACTGGAGGAGCCCGCAGATGAGGGTCCTAAACAGCTGCACTCCTGACATTTGGAGCAGGATACTCCCTGCGGTGGGGCTGTCCTGGGCATCGTAGGCTGTTTAGCAGCATCCCTGGCCTCGACTCACACTACACGCCAATAGCAGCCTGCTCCTCTAGCTGTGACAAACAACATAATCATCTGCAGCTGAGAACCACTGTCTTAGAAGGGAAGGAGGAGGGTGGGAGGGAGGGGATTTCTCTCCCAAGGTGTCCTCTGTCTGTCCTATGAGAGGCTGGGAGCCTCTGGCTGTCACCTCTGGTGACTCCTCATAATAGTCCTTCTCAAACTTTAAAGTGCTACCCCGCCCCCGACTCCGCACATCTGGTGAAACTCTGGCTCCTGATTCAGTGGTCTGGAGTGGCCGGAGGACCCAGCATGCTCAGGAAGGCAGTTAGAAAGGTGGGGACCACCCCTGGGGTAGCAAAGGCGAGGCTGTGAAGGTCGCACGGTGTCTTAGTGATCTCTTTGTTGGAAATTAACGGAACCGCCTCAATGCAGCCAAAGGAAAAAAATCCAACACGTGAGAAACAGGGTTTCTCACACAGTGGAATAAGGGCTTAGTCCAGCCTGGGGAGCCAGGGCCGTCCCCCTCTCTCCTCTGGCTCTGCTTTTGGTTACCGCCACCCCGCCTCCTCGGCTGCATCCCACTTTGTCCATCCCTGGACCCACTGGTGGGTGGCACGGATTCCCTGACAACGGTGTGTGTCAGGTAAGTAAATGGACAAACGGCAGCTTCTGTGGGACCCCTGGTAGTGAGAGGTCCAGAGCACTGAGGTGGCTTCTTGGCCTGAACAAGATTACTGTCCTGCATCAGTGGAGTGAGCCTACAGGAGCTCGCCCCAGGAGTGGGGGCCGGCCCAGGATCCCGAGAGCAGCCTGGCTGGTCAGGGCCTGGTTCCAGCTGTTCTCGGCCTGCCTCTGACCCCCCTGGAGGTCCCCGCCCCTTTCTCCTCCCTCTGGCCCTACAGATGATGGGACAGAACCGCAGAGACCTTCTGAGCTCATGAAATGAACGCAATCCTTTAGATCCGAGGTAGAGTATTCCCCTCTTAAAGACAATCCCACATGGGAAAACCCAAATTTAGGAAACTGGTAAATTAAAGATGACTATTTGTCCCACTGAAGTGATTTTCCCTCCACAAAAGGACTTCCTGCAGAGTTATTTTAAACAATAAGCTTCCTTTGGTACATTCAAAATTATTCAATTTACGCAGGTTGTGCAGTTAAAACCTCAAACATATCTGTCTGGTTTCGGGCCTTTTCCAAGGCAGTGGAGGTCTGAGGAAGGTGCATAAGTTAGCAGTTTGGGCTTACTTTGTAAGAAGTCATCCTTGGAGGGCAGCGCGCTGACCTTAGCTTCTGCCAGTGGGGCTCATCTCTCCCTTCAGAGAGCTGACCTCACGGTTAACGCAACTTGGAAAGGCATACACGTTCTGTGTGTAAATTCTGCCTCCTCAGAACAAAAAAAAAAAAACAGGGAAGAAATAAAAAGTGAGCAGAGGCCCTGGGATAGAGAAGGTTCACAATTTAATCAGCTTCTGGGGGCAGCCGTGGTGTGGGCATCAGGAAGTTATAGTTTTGGATATTGTGTCCAGAGGGATTTTTAAAAGAATTCAGGAAAATTCTGCACACGAACTGCGAGAAGAGAAGATAGCTGGACAGGCCGACTATCCTTATTTTAAAAGATGTTAATGCCAAGGCTGACCTGAAATGGCATCAGGCCTGCATGGAGTCAGGGACCGTGGCTGGTATAAATCGTTGCCATCACAGCATGGCAACTTCTTTGCATCCACAGGGATGTGATCTGTGGCAACACAAAAGCCAGTCACCCCTCCTTTCAGCTGCTGAGCTCTCCCTCCCCAACACATTGAGGCAACTCCAACAGCTTAGCGCTATATTTAGCACGAACTAAAATACCCACCTCCCAGACTCCACCCTCCTGTGCCCCTGAAATGAGCTGTGTCTGCCGTATTTCTGTTCCAGCCCAATGCACATGTACACGATTCCCGAGGAGCTGGGTCCAGGAGCAATTGTGGCCAATATCACAGCTGAAGACCCTGATGATAAAGGTTTTACCAGCTTCCTATTCTACAGCATCACTACTGTCAACAGCTATTTCATGATCAATCAGTGTAAGTCACACACACACACACACACACACACACACACACACACACACACACATCCTTATGTGCATCCTTTAATTCAGCCATTTGGATTGTTTTACAAATATTTTCTCTGTCTTCTGGTCTGGGGCATGCCTTTCCATCTAGACTATCGTAAGTTATCGGGGTAACAGGTGTATTTTTTCTTTTGGCTGCACCTCGTGGCTTTGGGGATCTTAGTTCCCTGACCAGGGATTGAACCCAGGCCCCGGCAGTGAAAGCATGGAGTCCTAACCACTGGACCACCAGGGAATTCCCTGTAATAGGTGCATTAAAAGCAGCTGGCATAAGGTTTGGGGACATTCAACAGGGCCCTGTGTCGACAGCTGTATCATCAGCTGTATCACCACTCCACCTTTGAGGCAGGTGGGCATCTAAGGATGGATGAGTTCACTATCCTGAGGGTACCTTGAAGTCTCCTGAACAGAGGATTCAGACCAGCACTGTCCAGAAGAAATACAGTGGAAGCCACATATATAATTTTAAAGGTGGCCACAAAAAGTAGAAACAGGTGAAATTAATCTTAATAAGGCATTTTATTTAACCCAATATATCCAAAATATTATCATTTTAACTTGTAATCAAGATTTTAAAGTTACTCATGAGATATTAATTCTTTGAAATCCGTTGTGTGTTATACTTACCGCATCTCAATTTGGCCTAGCCACATTTCAAGTGCTAAAGAGCCACATGTGGCTAGTGGTTACCATATTGGATTGCATCAATCTATTGATACATCCATCTGCTGGATTCCTGGGAGATTTTCCCATCTAAGTATCTTGGTGCAGAGAAGGAGAGTTTCTCCCTCTTAATGACCATCTTTTAGTCTATACCAGGCAGGATGCTGTGTGATCCACATGCATTCTATCTTAAGTACCCAGCAGAGCAACCCAATGAACTACCATAATCCACATTTTACAGATGAGCAAACGGAGGCTTAGAGAGAGACTTGGACAGGTTAAGTGACTCATCCAAGGTGTCACAGCTTGTAGGTTGTGAAGCAGCAATACAAACCAAAGCTGCCCGACTCCAAAGGCCGGGCTCTTCCCTACTCCTGGACTATACCACCTCATAAATCCCTGTCACATCACCCAAAAGGACTTCACTTTACATAATGATTTTGTGGAGGCCAGCACTGGACAATCCCAAAAAGACAATGTGTTACTCGTCCCATAGGCTTTAGGGCAAAGGTTACCTGTGCCCAGGAGAGGCGGGCAAAGGCGGTGCTGTCTGTCATTGAGGACCTCACTCCAGTGATCATGGCAGGATGGACAACTGTGGTTTAGAATTCTGTTCGTTCGAGTATGGCAAATTGAACTTTTAACAAATACAGTGGGTTTTTTGGTAGTATATTCATTAAGACTCTTTGGTTGCAACTGAAACTAAGGCCAGCCAAACCAAGCAAGAGAAAAAAAAAGTAGGGGACACCTATCACCAGGATACTGCATATCTCATGAGAAAGAGTAAACAGTCAGGGCACAGGAAGGATGGGAAGCAGCGCTGCTCCAGTGACCTCAGCAGCTAGAGTTCTGGCATCTTATCTGTAGCTCCACTAGGAACCTGACTTGTGTCTCCCAGTTACAAATTCTCCAGAAAGAGAACTCAGGGGTTGGAGTCAGCTGTCTATCACTCCAATGAATGATGGGCAAGGACAGCTGCCAGGGGGCCTAACCCTGAGGCATGAGGTGCAAAATTCTAGAAGGATCAGGCCAGACACCCCAGTCAATGTCCAAGACAGGAACTTACCTGAGGTTTTTTTTTTTTAAAATGTACTTGTATAAAGAATATTCTCTTTGTAAGCCAGTCCTCACATCAGAATGTTCTTTTCAAATGTACTCCAAGTCTCCACCTAACTTTGACTCTTCATTTCTCTCCAAAGAGCCATATTCTGACCTTTGCTTTCTAACAGTGACTGGGACCATCCAAGTGGTGCGCAGGATAGACCGAGATGCAGGTGAATTAAGACAAAATCCCGCCATATCTCTGGAGGTTCTGGTGAAGGATAGACCCTCTGGGGGTCAGGAGAATCGCAAGCAGATAACCTTCATTGTGGAAGACATTAATGACAACCCCTCAACATGCACCAAGTTCACCTTCAGGTATTTGCCTTCTGAGACACGTGTGGGCATGTCACCTCTTTGGGGGTGCTTGGTTCTTCTGGTATAGTCTGGCGGGGACTGAAGGATTGTGGGCACTTGTGACACAGCTCAATAAAATAAGTAGATTTGAACTGTCCCTTTAGGTGAGAGATTTTCCTTCCTCATCCTTTTTCTTCCCTCTCTTCCATTTTCTTTCCTCTTTGTAAGCTCCCTTCTCCACTTTCTTACTCTGTTAAAAAATATTTTTATTTTGCTCTCTTCTACAACACGTTCATCTCCGTTGGTGACAAGTCCACAGGACTTGTCAGGTGCTCTCTGGACTGTACCTTTTCTTTATTTATTGCCACCCATGGCAAGATGGTGCTGTTGGTTAGCAGTTATAGTAGATACTTGAGATTTAGGATCCATAACTAGGAGCTCCCAGAGAAGCACGCCACCGGTAATATGAATAAATAAAACCAAGTATTTACTTAAAACAAAACAAAGCATCTAATGCACTTTACACAACTTAACTGCCTGTGAACAAAAGGCAATGGAGAGGGGGGAAAAGGCAGATACAAGTTCTTTTGGATATTTTGACCCGTACTTTGTCTCACAATCTACTCACCGTTATTTTAAAATAAAGTTCCTTGGAGGAGGAACCAAGATGGCGGAGTAGAAGGACGTGCTTTCAATCCCTCTTGTGAGAACACCAGAATCACAACTAGCTGCTGGACAATCATTGACAGGAAGACACTGGAACTCACCAAAAAAAGATACCCCACATCCAAAGACAAAGGAGAAGCCAAAATGAGAAGGTAGGAGGGGCACAATCACAGTAAAATCAAATCCCATAACTGCTGGGTGGGTGACTCACAGACTGGAGAACACTTATACCACAGAAGTCCACCCACTGGAGTGAAGGTTCTGAGCCCCATGTCAGGCTTCCGAACCTGGGGGTCTGGCAACAGGAGGAGGAATTCCTAGAGAATCAGACTTTGAAGGCTAGCGGGATTTGATTGCAGGACGTCGACAGGACTGGGGGAAACAGAGACTCCACTCTTGGAGGGCACACACAAAGTAGTGTGCACATCGAGACCCAGGGGAAGGAGCAGTGACCCCATAGGAGACTGAACCAGACCTACCTGCTAGTGTTGGAGGCTCTCCTGCAGAGGTGGGGGAGTGGCTGTGGCTCACCGTGGGGACAAGGACACTGGCAGCAGAAGTTCTGGGAAGTACTCCTTGGCATGAGCCCTCCCGGAGTCTGCCATTAGCCCCACAAAAGAGCCCAGGTAAGCTCCAGTGTTGGGTCGCCTCAGGCCAAACAACCAACAGGGAGGGAACCCAGCCCCACCCATCAGCAGTCAAGTGGATTAAAGTTTTACTGAGCTCTGCCCACCAGAGCAACACAGAGCTCTACCCACCACCAGTCCCTCCCATCAGGAAACTTGCACAAGCCTCTTAGAAAGCCTCATCCACCAGAGGGCAGACAGCAGAAGCAAGAAAAACTACAATCGTGCAGCCTGTGGAACAAAAACCACATTCACAGAAAGACAGAGAAGATGAAAAGGCAGAGGGCTATGTACCAGATGAAGGAACAAGATAAAACCCCAGAAAAACACCTAATGAAGTGGAGATAGGCAACCTTCCAGAGAAAGAATTCAGAATAATGATAGTGAAGATGATCCAGGACCTCAGAAAAAGAATGGAGGCAAGGTCGAGAAGATGCAAGAAATGTTTAACAAAGACCTAGAAGAATTAAAGAACAAACAAACAGAGATGAACAATACAATAACTGAAATGAAAACTACACTACAAGGAATCAATAGCAGAATAACTGAGGCAGAAGAATGGATAAGTGACCTGGAAGACAGAGTGGTGGAATTCACTGCTGCGGAAGAGAATAAAGAGAAAAAAGAATGAAAAGAAATGAAGACGGCATAAGAGGCCTCTGGGACAACATTAAACGCAACAACATTCACATTACAGGGGTCCCAGAAGGAGAAGAGAGAGAGAAAGGACCCAAGAAAATATTTGAAGAGATTATAGTTGAAAACTTCCCTAACCTGGGAAAGGAAATAGCCACCCAAGTCCAGGAAGCGCAGAGAGTCCCATACAGGATAAACCCAAGGAGAAACACACCGAGACACATAGTAATCAAACTGGCAAAAATTAAAGACAAAGAAAAATTATTGAAAGCAGCAAGGGAAAAACGACAAATAACATACAAGGGAACTCCCATAAAGTTAACAGCTGATTTCTCAGCAGAAACTCTACAAGCCAGAAGGGAGTGGCATGATATACTTAAAGTGATGAAAGGGAAGAACCTAAAACCACGATTACTCTACCTGGCAAGGATCTCATTCAGATTCGATGGAGAAGTCAAAAGCTTTACAGACAAGCAAAAGCTAAGAGAATTCAGTACCACCAAACCAGCTCTACAACAAATGCTAAAGGAACTTCTCTAAGTGGAAAACACAAGAGAAGAAAAGGACCTACAAAAACAAACCCAAAACAATTAAGAAAATGGTCATAGGAACATACATATCGATAATTACCTTAAACGTGAATGGATTAAATGCTCCAACCAAAAGACACAGGCTTGCTGAATGGATACAAAAACAAGACCCATCTATATGCTGTCTGCAAGAGACCCACTTCAGATCTAGGGACACATACAGATTGAAAGTGAGGGGATGGAAAAAGATATTCCATGCAAAAGGAAATCAAAAGAAAGCTGGAGTACCAATACTCATATCAGATTAAATAGACTTTAAAATAAAGAATGTTACAAGTGACAAGGAAGGACACTACATAATGATCAAGGGATCAATCCAAGAAGAAGATATAACAATTATAAATATATATGCACCCAACATAGGAGCACCTCAATACATAAGGCAACTGCTAACAGCTATAAAAGAGGAAATCAACAGTAATACAATAATAGTGGGGGACTTTAACACCTCACTTACACCAATGAACAGATCATCCAAAATGAAAATAAATAAGGAACAGAAGCTTTAAATGACAAAATAGACCAGATAGATTTAATTGATATTTATAGGACATTCCATCCAAAAACAGAAGATTACACTTTCTTCTCAAGTGCGCACGGAACATTCTCCAGGACAGATCACATCATGGGTCACAAAGCAAGCCTCAGTAAATTTAAGAAAACTGAAATCATATCAAGCATCTCTTCTGACCACAACACTAGAGATTAGAAATGAATTACAGGGAAAAACATGTAAAAACACAAACACACGGAGGCTAAACAATATGTTACTAAATAATCAAGAGATCACTGAAGAAATAAAAGAGGAAATCAAAAAATACCTGGAGACAAATGACAATGAAAACACGACAATCCAAAAGCTATGGGATGCAGCAAAAGCAGTTCTAAGAGGGAAGTTTATAGCTATACAAGCCTACCTCAAGAAACAAGAAAAATCTCAAATAAACAATCTAACCTTACACCTGAAGGAACTAGAGAAAGAGGAACAAACAAAACCCAAAGTCAGTAGAAGGAAAGAAATCATAAAGATCAGAGCAGAAATAAATGAAATAGAAACAAAGAAAACAATAGCAAAGATCAATAAAACTAAAAGCTGGTTCTTTGAGAAAATAAACAAAATTGATAAACCATTAGCCAGACTCATCAAGAAAAAGAGGGAGAGGACTCAAATCAATAAAATTAGAAATGAAAAAGGAGAAATTACAACAGACACCACAGAAATACAAAGCATCCTGAGAGACTACTACAAGAAACTCTATGCCAAAAAAATGGACAACCTGGAGGAAACAGACAAATACCTAGAAAGGTATGAACTTCCAAGACTGAACAAGGAAGAAATAGAAAATATGAACAAACCAATCACAAGTAATGAAATTGAAACTGTGATTAAAAATCTTCCAACAAACAAAAGTCCAGGACCAGATGGCTTCACAGGTGAATTCCTTCAAACATTTAGAGAAGAGCTAACACTCATCCTTCTCAAAATCTTCCAAAAAATTGCAGAGGAAGGAACACTCCCAAACTCATTCTATGAGGCCACCAGCACCATGATACCAAAACCAGACAAAGATACTACAAATAAAGAAAATTACAGACCAGTATCACTGATGAATATAGATGCAAAAATCCTCAACAAAACACTAGCAAACAGAATCCAACAACACATTAAAAGGATCATACACCATGATCAAGTGGGATTTATCCCAGGGATGCAAGGATTCTTCAGTATATGCAAATCAATCAATGTGATAAACCATATTAACAAATTGAAGAATAAAAACCATATGATCATCTCAATAGATGCAGAAGAAGCTTCTGACAAAATTCAACACCCATTTATGATAAAAACTCTCCAGGGCTTCCCTGGTGGCGCAGTGCTTGAGAGTCCGCCTGCCGATGCAGGAGACGCGGGTTCGTGCCCCGTTTCGGGAAGATCCCACATGCCGCGGAGCGGCTGGGCCCGTGAGCCATGGCCACTGAGCCTGCGCGTCCGGAGCCTGTGCTCCGCAAATGGGAGAGGCCACAACAGTGAGAGGCCCGCATAACGCAAGGAAAAAAAAAAAAAAAAAACTCTCCAGAAAGCGGGCACAGAGGGAACCTACCTCAACATAATAAAGGCCATATACGACAAACCCACAGCAAACATCATTCTCAATGGTGAAAAACTGAAAGCATTTGCTCTAAGATCAGGAAAAAGACAAGGATGTCCACTCTCACCACTATTATTCAGCCTAGTTTTAGAAGTCCTAGCCATGGCAACCAGAAAAGAAAAAGAAATAAAAGGAATACAAATTGGAAAAGAAGAAGTAAAACTGTCACTGTTTGCAGATGACATGATACTATACATAGAGAATCCTAAAGATGCCACCAGAAAACTGCTAGAGCTAATCAATGAATTTGGTAAAGATGCAGAATACAAAATTAATGCACAGAAATCTCTTGCATTCCTATACACTAATAATGAAAAATCTGAAAGAGAAATTAAGGAAACACTCCCATTTAC